ACCCCTTCCCCGGCCCTTCCTTGGACTCACCTTGTACAAGTAAACTTTGCTCGCTGGATCCTTGAGCTCCAGCTCCAGGTCAAACACCGCGACCCCCTCCTTGGTGACCCTGATGTGTCTCAAGTTGGAGATGGTGTGGACATACTATAGAGAAGGCAAGTCCATCAGGGCTCTCTCGGGGAGGACTCCAGGCCCTTCCAGTCCCTAGTGCCACTCCCAGCCCATGGCATGCCAGCCGTGCCCATTTTGTAAGGAGAATGGGAATTCTTTCAGGGCCGCCATCAGGTCATACAGGCACTAGGAGAAGAACCCCTGTGAGCAGACGGGCTGAGAACATGGTAGGGGTTTTCCAGTCGTCTGGTCTTCATCCAGTGGACATGTGTCGAGCACCTACTGTGTGCAAAGCTCTGTGCTGGGAGCTGTGTTAAAGCGGCCCGGACAGCTTGGAGGCAGCTGGGGCACTGGTCCTTGAAGGCCCTTCCTCCAAGTCCCTAGAGCACTGTCTCAGAAGAATGGAGCACTCAGGTGGCAGGGCTTGATGTCCGCTACCGTTACGTTGATTTAGGCCCTGGCTGGGGCAAACAGATAATGCACTGGAATGGAAAGGCTGGAAGTTCCCGTCCATCCAGAGGTACCTCAGAAGGAAGGTCTGGTAGATGTTTTGTTTGGTTTTTAATCTTCTATTGAAAACCTTATGGTGTAGAGTTCCACTCTGCGAGACCTAGGGTCCCCATGAGATGGAACCAACATGAGGGCAACGGGTTTGGTTGTGTTTATAGTTAGGGTTCACAGAGGAAAGGACTCTGTCATGTATAAGACAGGGGAACGAGTGAGGCGACAGAAATGGACATGTCCTTCACTGGAGGCTGTGGAAATAAGGCAGGGACTCCTTTTGAAGAAGCCCTGTGGACACAGCAGTGAAGCACCAGGCTGCTCACCAAAAGGTTGATTTGACCCATCCAAGCACCCAAACAAGGCTCCAGGAATCAACAGCATGGAGCGTAATGTTTCAGCAAGCTGAGGACGCCCTGGAAGCACTCACTCATCTACGCCTGGAAATTTGGAAGACAGCTACCTGGTCTACTGCCTGCAAGCGATCCATCTTTGTACCCATTCCAAAGAAAGATGGTCCAACAGAATTCTCAGATTATAGAGCAGATCATTGATCGTTGCAGTATCACATGCAATAAAATGTGGCTGAAGATCATGCAACAATGGTTGCAGCAGTGCACTGACAGAGAACTGCCGGCGGTTCAGGCCAGATTCAGAAGAGACCGTGGGAAGAGGGATATCATTGCTGCTGTGAGGTAGGTCTTGGCTAAAAGCAGAAAATACCAGAAAGATGTTTACATGTGTTTTGTTTACGGTGACAAGGATTTGACTGTATCCATAAACTATGGATAGCTTTGAGAAGAATGGGAATCCCGGAATTTGCATTGTGCTCATGAGGCGGTTGTGCGCACAGAACAAGGGAATACTGCATGGTTTGAAAACAGGAAAGGTGTATGTCATGGTTGTATCCTCTCACCGTACTTGTTCAATCTATATGCTGAGCAAATCATCAGAGAAGCTGGTTTATATTAAGAAAAGTGTGGCATCAGGGTTGGAGGAAGGTTTATCAACAACCTGCGATATGCAGATGCCACCACCTTGCTTGCTGAAAGTGCGGTGGACTTGAAGCACTTGCTGATGAAGATCAAGGATTGTAGCCTTCAGGATGGATCACACCAATGTGAAGAAACCCACAACCCTCACAACGGAACCAGTAGGTAACGTCATGAAAAACACAGAAAAGATGGAAGTTGTCAGGGATTTTGTCTTGCTTGGATCCGCAATCAATGTTCCTGGAAGCAGCAGTAGAGATCAAACGACGTGTTTCACTCAGTGAATCTGCTGCACAAGATCTCTTTAACGTGTTGAAAATCAAGGATGCGACTTGGAGGATTATGGTGCATCTGATCCAAGCCACGGTGTTTTTGGCTGCCTCATCCGCACGTGAAAGTCGGACAGAACGAGACTCAGTGCATCTGAATGATGGTGCTGCGGGAGAATATGGAAGCACCTTGGACTGCCGAAAGAGCAAACCCGTCTAGCTTGGAAGAAGGGCAGCCAGGGTGCTGCTTAGAGGCAAGGACGGATAGGCATGCTATCAGGAGAGACCAGTCCCTGGAGAAGGACGTCGTGCTCGGTAAACAGTCGGCCATCGAAAAAGAGGAAGGCCCTCAACAAGAGGCATGGACACCGTGGCTGCCCCTGTGAGGGTGGCCCAGGGCCGGGCGGTGTTTTGTTCTGTTGTGCATCGGGGTCCCTGTGCATCCGGACAGAGCGAACAGTACCTAACAATGAGCAGCGCCAAGAGAGGCCTGGCATCTGCTTCGGCAAAGATCACACCACAGAAGCCCTGTGGGGCAGTGCTACGGCTCGTGAAGTCGCTATGAGAACCGAGTGACAGCGTCCCCCACAGGGATGTCCGGTAAGCAGGGTGCCGGCTGATACTGAACCCTACAAGCCAAGTGCTCTACATGGCCATTCATCTCCACAGCAGCGCTATCGGGTGGGTCGACTAGAACCCCCCTTTTACAAGGGAGGGCCCTTGCACAGAAGCCCTACCCTTTCCAAAGCCCCGGTGTTGAGCCCAGTTTCTAGGTCAGAGCATGCCAGAGCCAGAATCCACATTTGTGAAGCTGAGACGGGGCCACCGGAGTGCCTCCGCCTCCTTCCAAGGCCCCTCTGCCTGCCCGCAGCCCCGGCTCACACTGTCCGCTGCGCGGGGCGCAGCGCGGGGTACCTGCGCCATCCTGTCCTCGCGCTCCTTCTGCATCGCCTGCAGCTTGCGCAGCATGCCCCGGAAGTCCACGATGCCGTACTTCCTGCAGATCTGCTCGTAGTCCTTCCGGTCCGCGGTCATCAGCAGCTGCCACACCTGCTTGGGGTCCATCTTTTCCTCGGGGGCTGCCGGCGGGGCCCTGGGCAGCAAGAAGGGTGGGCAGGGCAGGGCAGAGGTCAGGGGAGACCAAGGCACTGGCCTCCCTCCTGTGAGGAGGGAGTAGACTGAGGGGCAGGGAGACTCTGCCTAACCCCTGGGTGGAGCTGGACGCCCCCAGAAATGGACTGATGCAGCCTTGGCCATAGGCCCTAGCTGGCTTTCTGCTCCTACAGCTCATGTGGTAGCTTCCTCGGGGGGATGTCTTGGGGAGGAAAAAGTGTTCTGTTGCTCAAAACATTACCCCCCTAAAACGACTGCCCTTGTGGAGCAGAAACATTTTTCAGTAACTCAGGGCAAAGAGAAGAGAGGGAGTAACTCCCATCGGGGCAGGTCCTGCGCATTGTCGGAGTTTGATTTGCAGAAACTAGCTGCCAGGCCTTTCTTCTGGGCACCTGGGAGTGGACTTGACCCGCAAACTCCCAGGTGTTAACCAGGGACTCCGAGAGGTGAGTCTGGGGGCACAGAGCTAAACTGAAGTGGCAGGGCTGCGTCCAGAACTCCCAGGTTGGAGCCCTTTCGAAGCTGCCACCCACGGCCAGCAGTCTCTCTTCCCTAGGTGTCTGGCAGCTGCCAGTCAGCGGGCTCCTGAAGGTAGCCAGCGGTAGGTGGGAAGGGGGTGTGGCACGAGACCATGAGGCCCCGGGGCAGGCCCACACCCACCTCTTCTTCAGCATCTTCCGGAAGTCCATCAGCTCCTTTCTGAGGTCTAGGAAAGGGTAAGGAGTGAGGCTCCAGCCCTAGGGAGCGGCGGCCAGGGCTTAATGCAGGGCTTTTGAGAGCGGGGTGGGGAGGGGATGGTGGGGGCCCTGTGGTCCTGGGCTGGCAGCAGAGCTTTCCAAGGGTGCTCTCTTGAGGGCTGGTGATGACCCATGAGGTTTGAGGGCGCAGGTTGGCGCGTTGCTGAGAGGTGAGGGCTTGGCTGGTGGGGAGTACCAGACGAGGAATAATCCATTCCCCCAAAGCTGCGAGGGGGCTCCTGGAAAGCCCACAAGTCCACTTACCCTGTGGCGGTTCCTTGTGCCTCTTGCGACTCTTCCGAAAGCCAACTGAACCATGGCGAGGGAGGGGGGTGTTGATGTGGACAGACAGGAAGAGAGGCAAAGATAGTTTTCTTGAGAAACAGAGTCCCAACCCCAGAGTCCTGACCTCCGGGCTCTCCTCTGAGATGCAGCAGCATCCTCGCAAGAAGGATGGGGCAGGATGAGGGTTTGTCCATGGGCTTGACCCCGCCCCCACCCCCAGTGCCTGAACGCCGAGGTGGTTCTGACCCGATACACACTGCGAGGTCTGCAGGGGCCCGAGAAGTATCATAGGTGAGTGAGGTAACCACGGATGACTGCAGCTGCCTGGAGAACAGCTGAAGGAAGCAGCTGCCCTCGCTCCACCTGAGAGCTGCTGTTTCATGATGCAGGCCCAAGGTGATCCCACATGTCAGATGCTGCCACTCCTGTGACTGTTCCCAAGCCCCTTCCTCGTCTCTGCCTTCCAGAGAGGCTGGACAAATGAGACCCTTGCCTTCCCATCCCAGCTTCCCACGTAACTAGAGGAGCTCATGTGACACACTTCTGACCAAGGAGATGTAGGCAAAGGGCTCTGTACCACCTCTAAGAAGTGTTTGCTTTCTGGATCAAAGGGGTCGATATAGCTGGAGCCCGCTTTCCCTTCTCCCCTTCTTGAAGCGAGGTTAAATTGAGGTCTGCAGCAGGGCAGCAGAGCAGGGAGACAGTGGGCGTTCAGCTCTTTGGGAACAGCAGCGAGTTGTGTCATGGGCCCTGAACTTGGTGTGTGAATTCATTAAAGGTCTTCATTTCTTGAAATGTGCAGTGGTATTGCTTTCACTTGTAGGCAAAAGCAGAACCGATTGAGAACCTGTATCTGTTTTGTCTAAAGACTTCTATCCCCCAGTAATTACAGTGTTCCCAAACACTGTGTAAACCAAATATTACAGGTTCTTGAGCTCTTTCCACTGAACTAAGAGCTGAGCAGCCAAAGCATCTGGTGTGCTTTTAAAGCCACGCCCAAGTCACTAAGGGTTCCTCCCTGCCTTGCGCCGGCAGGCCGGCCTCTGGACCCTCTGAGGACTCTCTGGGGAGGAAGCCAGGGCTGACTCCTGTGCACGGACTGGACAGGCACCTTCAATGACTGTGAGCCTCACGGAGCACGTGGCCTCTCCGTACATGTTCACTGCTGTGCAGCGGTACAGGTCTGTGTCCTCGCCCGTCAGCTTGTCGATCTGCAGAGAGGGAAAGAGTCGGGACACAGGGATAGCACCCGCACCCCCACCCTCCAGTGGCTAGAGACATGGTGTGGTGGGGCCAGGTGTAAAGATGACCTAGACCCCCTCCTTTCTCATGGAGCCCAGCTTTCACCGGGAAAGACAGACCTCAAAACAGAAAACAGGACCAGAGCTGAGACCTGCTGTAACAACTCCCAGGGGCTCTCAGTGTGGTGTGCTGAAGTGAGCTGGGCTGCAGGCTCAGGTGGGTGGGCGCTGACTGCTTGCTCTGCCATGTGTTACTGGCAGTGGAACTGACTATGTGCAGACAAGTAAGTTCACCTCTCTGAACTTGAATGCCTGAGCTTTGTAACATTGGGATAACCACACCACACAAAGGATTAAGTGAGTGGGTTTCCATGGCTGTGTGCTGCTCCGCTCATGAGAACAGGCTCAGCGTCTCTGAATTGCACGTGGCCAAACTGCCAGCCAGCCACGGGATTGACTCTTGTGTTCACAGCCATAATAAAATTTAATTTAAAATGTAAAGTTGGAGGTGGTTAGGATTCAATACTATAAATCAGTGGTTCTCGACCTTCCTAATGCCTTGACCCTTTAATACAGTTCCTCATGTTGTGGTGACCCCCCCCCCAACCGTAAAATTATTTTCGATGCTACTTGATAACTGTAATTTTGCTACTGTTATGAATCGGGCAACCCCTGTGAAAGAGTCATTCGACTCCCAAAGGGGTCGCGACCCACAGGTTGAGAACTGCTATAGATGATGTTGAATGCTTAGCCCCAGGTCCAGCACACAGGAGATGTTCAAGGGCCAGAAGTGACATAACTAATCTTTACCAGCACTGACTGAGCGCTCACTGCAGGCCAAGCATGGGCGAGATGCAGCCTACGAACCAGTGTTTCTCAAAGCAGATGGTAGTGCCCCCTGGGGGCGCTGGGAAGGTGCAAGGCTATTTGATCAGATGTCAACAAGCTCACTTTATTCCACAGGCAATGGGGACTCCATGCACGTTTTAAAATCACTTGTCTTTTTTCTCTTCAAGCTTTTTTTGTGCATTATAGAAAACCAAAGAGCAAAAAGGCAAAGAACACAGAAGGCACCCAGGATCACTTTGATTCTCTGGCTTTGTAAATATTGTTGGGGGTCTTTTCTTTCTTACTCTCTATTTTTATCTTTCTATCATTCTTTTTATCATCTTCTTCTTTCTGCTTTGATTTGATCTGGTTTATTGCTTCTATGCGGCCTCCCAGTTTAAGAAGGAGTGGGTGCTTGATGGCAGACAATAACCAAGGCAGTGGTTGATCTGGAGGGGAGGGCAGGGGTGGCATGGGGAAGCAGGGGACGGATGCGGGAGGGGGAGGAACATGAGAACTGGTTGTGATGCTGTCTGCACAAAGGTAACTTAACTGCAGACGTGTCTGACAGGGGGCTATTGTAGGAGGAAAATGACTGAAAAACTCAACCAAATTTGACCTCCGGTGACCATGGGTGAAGGAGGAAGAGTTTGAGTTCATTTTCACGGTGGCAGAACAACTGGAAAAGGAAGTCAATAGTGGTTACACAACACCCAGTGTGATATACTCTACGGCACTGAATTATGCATGTAGCAGTTGTCGAATTAGAGAATGTTTTCCTGTGTATATTTTTGCCAAAATTGAAAGAAAATTACAGGACTAGCAATGAGCACAAGGAAGAAGATATGCTCTAAAACTGTGGTGATTGTACACCTCTTTTTCATATGAATTGGGTGGTATGTACATGAAGTACCGATAAAACTGTTATTTAAGGAAAGGTCCAGGGAGGCTGCCGAGGCAGATCCCGCATTCCATTCAGGATGATATCTAGAGTAGGGATCGGCAAACTTGGAAGAGCCAACCTTGTCCCTCACAGCAATTTAACCCTTATTTGAGAGCCATAAATATATGTTTAACGGCATTATCTGAATAGCCTTTTAATTATTATAAATGATACTAGGATTGTTTTATCTTCATTTTCATTTCATTATTTATCTCACTCTGGAGCCGCATGGATGCACCCAAAGAGCCGGCTATGGCTCAAGAGCCACAGTTTGCCGACCCACATTTGTACCTGCCGGGAGGGGTGGGGACACTGAGAAATCTTTTTTTTCTTCCTGCAAGAGAGATGGTAGACCACATAAGTCTGGGAACCTAGGATTATTCCTCATAGGAGCTCCATGAGGTAGGTGCTGCTATGACCCTGGAGTCAGTCCCTAAATGGTACCAACGGCACCCTTGGTGGCCAGCCAAAAGACAGGTGGTCCGAGCCCACCAGAGGTGCCTCGGGAGAAAAGCCTGGCGACCTCCTCCTGAAAAGCCGGCCCGGGGAACCCCCTGGAGCTCTGGTTCGCACGGGAGGGCGGAGTGGGAAGAGCAGCACCCCAAGGGCACCAATCACTTACTTGTTTGACGGAAAACTGACCACTTCACTCAAGCCACACACAGAAAGCTCTGCAGGCTGAAGCCCAAACCCTGTGCGATAGGGTTGGACTATTGCACTGTATGATATGTGTGTGTGTGTGTGTGGGGGGGTGTTGTACTGGATTGTATGATGATGTCGGGGATCAGGCCCCAATAGAACTATTTGTCAAAAACCCAAAACCAAACCCTCATGGACCCCAGCTCGACTCGCACACCCGTGGGGCCGCCACAAATCGGAGTGGCCAGACTGCCACTGCGTCCTTTCTTCCGTGGGCGTCACCCTGTTGTACAGAGATGCTCTCCCAGGGGTAAGGAGCCACTAACTCGCAGTAAGTGGGTGTTTGATTCCCGAGTTTGTGCTCTTGTGGCTCCAGGGACCCCCAGGTCATCAGCAGGGCCCCCCCGTGAGCCTGCAGTCTAGTCCCCATTCAGGGTACCTTGAGCCACAGCACAAAGGCCACCTCCACGTGGATGCTCTCTGGCTCCTCGGGGATTGGAGGCTGCCAAGGAGAGCCTCCAGTGGGAGCCTGTCCTCCTGGGCAGGGCCCTTACCTGCAGCACGTGCTCCTTGCTGCCAGTGGGGGAAGAGATCTTGTATTTGCTGGGGTCACTGAGGTCACCTTTGGTTCGCTGCCAGTGCACCTCAGGTCGAGGCTCCCCACAGACCACCGCCCGAAAGATGGCATTTCTCCCTACGGCAAAGGGGGAGAGAGGAGGCTATCAGGAGAGGTGGGGGGAGCGGGACTTGGCATCATTGAGATTGTACTTGATGGGTCTCCTCACTGCTCTAGGTATTTCACCTGCCCGGTCCAAGAAGGGTACTAGGCTGGGAAGAGAATGAGGTTTCGTGGACCTGCGTCCACTGGAGAAGGGGCAGATGACAACCGTGGAGGGAAATGGCTGAGGTGCACAGTTCTCACCCCAGAAGCGATGCTCAGGCCCAGGTGTAGCGCGGCAACCCCGGGGCCGCTTGCCCTCAAGGAACAGAGAGACACCACCCACTCAGCCCAGCATCTCCGAAGACAGCAGCGTGGACCGCAGGCCCCAGACCCCGGCCAAGGGCCGGAGGGGAATCCTTTGCTCACAAGATCATTGAATGTGGACTTGAAGTCGGATTTAAGAAAACATAGTCCTCTCTGTATAGTTTTAAATCAGAAGGTTCTAGACTAAAGCTTATTGTAGAGGCTGGTGTGTGCTGGGGAAAGAACACCAACTCCCACCCCTTCCTTCAGAGTCGGCCCTCTGCCCACGTGGCCTTCTCGAAGGTCCCTGTAGCCCGGACGGTGAGCCCTTGGGGGCTTGGCTGGCTGAGGGCAAGGGTTGGGACCGCACCTCTTTGTGCCTTCTACCCGCTCTCCTCCCCGGTCCCCTTGGCCTGTCTGCAGCTCCAGGCAGACAGGCTCCCACGAGCACAGAGGATGGGCCAGTTGACGGAGGTAGAACTGGGCAAAGCAGCTCAGGTGCCCAGGCATACTGGGAGGTGGGGGCAAGGGTCTTCCCTCCCTCTCTCAGGCCTCACCCTCCTGAAGCGCCAAGGGGATCGGCTTCTGCTTAAAGTCCGGGGTGCTGCAGCCTTCAGGAAGCTCCTCCACCACCTGCCGGATGCTCACCCCAGGGACGGACGACTTCTGGAGGGTCTTGCCTGGGGATGGCAGGGGAGGGGTGAGTGGGCTTCTCAGCAGAAGGGAACACCCACCGGCTCATCCAAGGAGCAAGCAGCCCCTTCTCTCTGCTGTTGCTGGGATGCCAGTCTCCCACGGGTCCTCCAGAGAACGACACATCTTGTTTTTCTTGTGGGAACCTGGGTGCCCTCCCCACCCCCACCCGGCAAGGTGAATGGAAATCCCTGGGAAGTGGCAGAGCAGGTCCTGGGAAGATGCTGAGCGTGGGACTGGGGACAGAGCTGCCTAAGGGAGTGTAGGGGTGGGTTCCTCCTGAGGGCTGCAAAGCCAAACTCAGCGCCCAACTAAAGAAAGCGAAGAGACAGATTCGTCCCCGAAGATCTCTCGCCCCTACCCCTGCCGCTCTTCGTCCCAGGGAGGAGGCGAGGAGGGGAGAGAGGACGAGGCCGTTCTCTCACCTGCCATGGTCAGGGCTCCTCAGAGGCTCTTCTGAGGGTGGAGGTTGGTCTCCTGAGAACAGAAGATAGAGTTGCCAGTGGGTGGTCCTGGAGGGTCCTTTCTCACTCCAACCAGTCCATCAGAGCGTCAGCTCACACCTGGGGTGGGCGCTGGGAAGAGCTGCCCCCGAGAAGGTCTTGACTAATTTGCCCAAATAGACTGGTCACCTGCCATGTGCTGGGCCAGCTACACCAGTCTTCCTGGGATCAGGGAGGGGTAGGGTGATGGCCAATTGGTACCTTGCCAGCTGAAGGAAACCATGGGACAGAGCCCTGAATACTGAGCCGGTGGCTTGGCCTCCTGGTAGGACGTCAAGACACAAGACCACTCAGATGAAGCACAAGCTTTCATGCATCTCAGAGACTCCAGCGCTGGCCATTCAGGTTTCTTCCAGCTGCTTAATAGCCAGGCCCCGCGTAACTTTGGAATATTAATTCTCCAGGGACATTACCTGGGTCTTCAGAACCTCCTGGGCCCTCCCCCAACTCTAGCAGGGCCCACCTCCCTCGGTCAACCCGTCTGGAAGTCTTCAGATCATCAGGTCTGTGCGGGAGCATCCCTGACGTCAATGCCCTTTGCTCTTCAACACCCAGACCAATAGGATCCTCCTAAGTCCATCTGCTCCTGCCTGGAGGCAGCGACTTCAAGTGCAAGGTGAGCACGTGTGCTCTTCCAGCCTCTCCTCGTCGCCCCACCACCGTCTCCCACGACCTTCTCTCAACCATATCTGTTATGGCCTCTGGGGAGCACCACCCAGGAGAAGAGGGGCTTGGCTCGGGGCGGAGAGCTTCCTTGATGTGAGTTATGACTGGGAGTGTGGGGAGTCTTGGAAGAATTCTCCAGCAAACCCACTTGTTGGGTGGCTGACCCGAGGGCCTGAGGTTCTCTCGGGGGTCACTCCCTGCCCTGTCCAGAGAACCCGGCCATCAATGTAGAATTACTCTGACAGAGACATTTCCCCTCCCAACGAGCGCTCTTCCTTCTCAGAGCTGCCCACCCACCGGCTCCTCTGCCCTCCTCCTCCAGCCCAGCCACCACCCCCAGCACACTGGAGTGCCACGTGTGTCCACGTGTTCTGGAGCAGAGCAGTTGGGTGCCACCACCCACAGGTGTGGCAGCCCAGCACAATTCCAGGAGCCACAGAGCAGATGAGGAAGGGAGGGAATCAGCCAGCAATGGCGGAGGGCTGACCCACCCCCCACTCCTGATCCGTCTGCTAGAAGGTGAGCCCACTGGCCCCTGTCCATGACTCCCACACTGGAGACTTTTGAGCTCCTTGCAGGTATCTTCACCACGGTCACCATTACGGTCACCACCAATCATTACACAGCTAGTTGTCACACTTAAGACTCAGGCAAATCAGACCCCTTCTCTCCCTCCTGCCGCCTGGAGGCACAGATAGGACCTCTGCAGGAACTTGGCCGCAGCCCTCTGTCCCCGCCATCCTCCCCCCAAACAAGCCAGATTGGGCAAGAGATCTGCTTGGTTGGAGACTGGAGAGCGATCTCCATTGGAGGCCATGGGCAAGGACGTGGGCTCTCTCCAACATGGTTCACTCCCACCTTTGAAAAGAAACCTAAGCTTTCCCTGCCCCAAACTGCCGCTTGCGTGGTGAGACGACCTCACTTCAGCAGGACTCTCAATTCTGGATCCCAGACTGTGTGCGGCGGGCGTCTCCCTAGGGTCCCACCACCTCCCGCCCTCTGTCCCCGTTCTCCATTCACCCCAGGTTCTTGCCACCTCCGACTGGTGGGGACAGGGACAGGGAGAGCCAAGTGGGGCTTCTCTCCGTTGCTTTTCCCAGTTTCCAATCAAGATGCTGTGGCAAACCCCAGCCCTGCGGCTGACTCTGAGCAGGGAGTGAGTTGTCTACTCTATCACACAGCACCTGGGAAACAGAGCTGGGCAGAACCACTCAGACAAGACCCATCGAAAGCTCGTCTCACCTCCGAATGCCCTAGGGGCCTCTAGAAGGATGTACATGCATCCTAGTGGATAACCAGCCAGCCAGGGAACATCCCCAAGGCCGAGCTCATGCCCACTGCCACCCAGGCTTGAGTGGAAAAGCTAGAGAGCAGGTTCGCGTCTCCGTCTCTGACCCCACCCTGCCCATGCGGGCACGGTGCAGGGCCCCGCTTACCCAGGCCCACAGGGGCCGCCAGCCTGCCGTCTGCTCCCTCCTTTCCCTTCCAAAGGTGCCGACAGACTGGGTGCGCGGAGCAGATGCAGGAGCAGACGTGGCTCCCTCCGCCCCTCCCACTCGCCCCGCCTCCCTCTTCCCTCTCAGTCCTGCTTGGCACAGCAGCCCCTGGCTAACGCCTGGTCTTGTGACATCAGCTCACCCACTCCCCCTCTCACAGGCTGTCCAGCTCCTGGCCAGATGGCTTCACGCGCGTTTGCTCCTGTGTCCTCGTTGTTTTGTGGTTGGTTGCTGAGGGCGGTCAAGTTGATTCTGACTTGATCCTATGGGACAGAGCAGAGCTGCCTTTGAGGGCTCTGAGGCTGTAGTCTGTATGGGAGCAGACTGCCCGGTCTCTGCCCCACCCAAGTGCTGGGTGGGCTGGAACTGATGCCGTTCCCGTTAGCAGCGGAGCACGGAGCACCTGATACCAGCAACGAGAGACACCGGCGCCATGCAGGACTCCACCTTGGGACCCCCTTGCTCTCCGAGGTACAGGCTGGATGAGATGACCTCTAAGATCCAGGCCAACTGTCACAGTCTACTGTCTGCCACTCAGAAGTATGTTTCACAGACCAGGCTGTGTGGCCCTGGACACTAGTGTCATCCACGTGACTAGGGAGAGCCTACCTCCTCCACAGACAGCCCTGGCCTCTGTCTAGCTGGGAGGATGCCCTTTGGGGGACAGTGTCCTCTCACCCCACTACAGAACAGGTAGATAAACTGGGAGGCACACACACGTACAGCACACACTGACAGCTGCTCCCCCCGGAAAGGCCGAAGGCCACTCACTGTCCTGTGCTGCGGGCCCATTTCTGGAACAGAACGAGGGAATTAAAAAAGCAAAAACAAAAAACCTCATTGCCAGCAAGTCTGGAATTCTGATTCATAAAGTCCCTGCAGGACAGAGTAGAACTGCCCCTGTGAGTTTCTGAGAATGTAACTCTTTTCAGGAGTAGAAAGCTTCATCTTTCTTCCTCTGAATGGCCGGTGGTTTCAAACTGCTGACCTTGTGTTGTGGTGAACAGACCAATGCATAACCACTACACCACCAGGGCTCCTTGGAGCCAGAGAGTGGGACTCCATTCCAACCACACCCTACCCTGAGACCGTGAGGGTTGGGCAGGACACACAATACCCTCTGTTTTACACCAGGTCTCCTGGGCTGCTGTCAGGGTGCCCCATCTGGCCCTGCTCTTGTGAACCAACCCCCTGGTCCCATGACTGTCCACCTGGCAGATGAGCCTCCCACTCTCGCACCTCCAGTCTTTCAGGACACCCACAGTGTCGTGAATTCCTTGTAGCTGCATAGGAACCAAGACCTTGGAGACCCCAAGGGCAGTTTCATGCTTGCCAAGCCAGCTTCCAGCAACAGAGGAACCTGAGTCAGGAACCAGTCCACTAACCTGAGAGGGCCCAGCCCAGCAGGCCCAGCAGGTGCAAGGCTGCAGGAGGGGTCCTTGGAACCCCTCAGGAGAAGGCTAGGGAGGAACCCCTGCTCCAGTCACCAGGAAGGCTGAATCCCCAGTGGGAGACAGTCTGTTGGTGCAGTGGAGAACCTCATAGATGATCAGAGTGGGACAACGCCTTGAGCGCGTCCTACTGCAGCAGCAAACTAAATACACACTAAACCCCAGTACCATTTGAATGCATAGCACGTACATGCTCTTACAAGCCAGGCATGCTTGAGGGTCTTTATTCACTTATTTAATCCTCAGCAAATCCAACTATGACTAACCTCATTTGACGAAGGGGAAACTGGGGCGCAGAGAGATGAAGTAACTTTCCTAAAGAGACACAGCTAGTGAGAGAGAGCCCAGGCATTTACACTCTTAACCACTCGTATTCTGAGAGTCTGATCCGGCTCCCTGCTTCTCAGACATGGGCACTGGGGCCTGGGGAGGAGTTCGGACCTGCATGCAGGCTCCCCGCAGGTTAGTACACAGTCAGACTAGCCTCCCATGTTGGGCGGTGCAAACAGGTAACACAGTGGGCTGCTAGCCCAAAGTCTGTAGGTGTAAGCCCACCTAGGGCAGGAGTGGGGAACCTTTTTCTGCCAAAGGCTATTTGAACATCAGCCGTGGGCTAGACTGGTCAGACATTTAATTAACTCATCCCTGATGTGATGGCTACAGCCCTGGTGGCATCAGCAGCTCAAATCCACTAGCTGCGCTGAGGGAGGAAGGTGAGACTTTATACTCCTGGAAAGAGTTACAGTCTTGGAAACCCACAGGGGCAGTTCTACCCTGTCCTACCTTGACTCGATGTCAGTGATTTGGGGGTTTGAGTTTTAATGTGATGGCTAGCACTGCTTCTCCCTACTGTGGGGTGCGACATTAACTGGTATTGATGAGTTTGCTGACCTTACATGGACCCCCTTAAAGTATTGAAAAGCAAGGATGTCACTTTGAAGACTGAGGTCTGCCTGACTCGAGCCGTGGCGTTTCCCGTCACCCCTTAAGCATGTGAAAGTTGGGCATTGAGTATGGCAGGCAAGACGAATCAATGCCTTTGAACGATGGTGCTGGCTACTGACATCAAAAGTGGCATGGACTGCCGAGAGAACAACAGATCCGTCTTGGAAGAAATGCAGCCAGAATGCGCCTTAGAGCCCAGGATGGCAACTTTGGACACGTTTTCAGGAGAGAAGGACGTCATGCTTGGGAAAGTGGGAGGCGGTGACAAAGAGGGATGGTGCAGGGCACAGCAGCGTTTCATTCCGTGGTATGCAGTGGCTACCAGTCAGAACGGACTGGATGGTGCCATCCCTGGCTCAGCAGCACCTCATAAGATAGGTCTGGAGATACACCTTCCAAAAGCAACCACGCAGAGCTACGGAGGACGGTTCTATTCCGAGCCTCGTGGAATTGCCTGAGCCCGCTCCCCCTCAGGGGCAGCTGGGGTGGTGGACTGGGCAGAAATACCAACCACTCGCCCTCCTAGCCAGCTATTCCCCGGAAAGGAGGTGCACAGGGAGATGAGCAAAATGCTCCTGCTAAGCAAGGCCAGGCCACTCTACTTGCTAAGCTTCTGTCGTGCAGTTGGGCTGTTTTATAGAGACGTGTTCACCCGCTGCACTTAGAGCCATAGCACTTGCACGGTCCCAAGCTGATGAGTGTAATGTTCATCATGGGGTAGCCGACTGAAGCAAGAGATCACTGTCCTGACGTGACAGGGAAGGAGCCGAGGCTCAGAAGGATGGAACAGCAGGCTCACTGTGCCCCAATGCGGAGCCACTCGAGAGCTGTACGCCAGGCAGTCTGACTCCACTACGCTTCTGCCTCCTGGCCCAACATTGTGAGTTCTAAAAGACAGAGGTAACTGAACGTTTTAAAGACTTCTTGGCTTAATGTGTTTGTCCTGGTACATTAGAGAAACAAGTCCACAGAAACTCATGTATAAGAGAGAGTTTTATATAAAGGGTAAGTGCACATCAAGAAAACATCCCAACCCAGTGCTGCTCAAGCCCACAAGTCCAACATTAGCCCATAGGTCCTACACCAATCCACAAAGTCCTCCTCCATCTCACAAAACACACACTATGATGCCGACTGCAGGAGGAAAGCCGAATCAGTGAACGTGTAAACATCTCAGTGCTGGCAGGGTCTCCACACGGCTGTTCCAGCACCCACGGCTGCATTGGGGTAGGTCTCTGTGGCTTCTCCTCAGGGATGTCTTGCAGGAAGTGAGCCTTGCCAGCTGAAGCAGGGAACTGGCTAAGGCAGCTGCACCCTGGTGCAACCATCAGAAAGCAAGAGACCCAAGAACTAGAAAGGCGAGGCTCACTGAGCCATTTATCTCTCTGCCCTTCAATTAACCCCACATGTGTTTATCGGTCAGGTTGGCACAATAAACTATCTCACTTAATTTCTTTAATCATGAGCCTCATTCTCAAAAAGTCTCCCAGGGTGTCCTAGAAGTTGAAGGGGTGCAGGCCACTTCCAATTTTTGAGAGCCCTAGTACATTAAAATTTTACTAACGTTTTACCGTGAACAAGGTGAGACTTGACGGAACAGACCATCAGTTTTACAGCCAACTGTTCACACGCTTTTCCGCTTCAACGTATCCATTCCAGTCATCTCAATGCCCAGCTCGTCCACTACCATCGCCGCGTGTGGGGCAGGCTCATTCACAACCTGCAATATGCAGATGACACAGACTTGCTTCCTGGAAGCCAAGAGGACTGGCAGCGCTTCCTGACGGGGATGAAAGACCACAGCCTTCGGCATGGACTGCAGGGCCATGTAAAGACCACAGACCTCCTCACAACCGGGCCAGTTGACAACACCATGGGACAAACACTGACCTTGTCAAGGGCACCCTTTCAGCAGACCCACCATCAACGCCCAGGGAAGCAGAGAACGCCGTGCCCTGGATCAACCTGCTGCCAAAAAAGAGACCTCTTCAAAGTGTACACAAGCAAGGGTGTCACTTTGAAGACACTTCATGGCTGCAGAAGATGGGCAGGGGTGGGGTTTGGTGTGGGGACCGAGGCCTCACCTCACTCTCATGCACATCACCTCCCAGAAAAAACTCAGAGACCAAAGCTGAAAGCCAGTTTTCCTAGGTGGAGTCCAGAGGCCATTAAGAACCGGGGTGATCATCACAAAAAGGGAGCTTAGAGGAGCCTGCTACCTTGAGCTGGGCAATTGCAGGAAGCCCTGAGGCCGTCTGGGATTGGGGAGGCGGGTGCCCCAGGAGGACCGCCTGGCTCAGACTGGGATAAGAGGCAGACCCAGTGAGCTCTGGCTCGGAGAGGAGTCTCTTCCATCGTGAGATGGTGGCTCTCAGCTTGGGCAATTGCCCTCTGGCACCAAGTCTGACCTCCTGGAGACTTCCAACACCTTGCAGCTGCTAGCACCCCTCCCTGGCTGCCCTCCAAGGCCCTGACCTCCACCTCTGCCAGTCTAACCTCTCTCCACCTTCCACTCTCCCCTGGAATGCCGACTTCCCTGTCCCTCTGTGGCCACTGCATTCAGTGACATTCTCACAGGACACATTCATTGACCTCAGCCTTTGTGTCTCCGTCTGGCCTGGGACACACCCTGGTGCCCTCTATGTCCTGGAAATTTCCCAAGGGCAGAGAACACAGTCTCCTTCCTATACACCGTTCCCCACACCTCCCTCCTCGCCCGCTCTGTCCTTCCTAGGATGAAACTGCCCATGGCGGCTTTATCACAGAGCACTTTCTCCCAAGCAGTTAGATCACCTCCCTGCAACCTATTCCTCTCCCTCCTTCTCCTGCCAGGAAACGTTTCCTTTCCTCGGCAGAAAGGCCTGGCTGAACAAAGGAATATCTAACATCCATCGCGGGTGGGGGGGTGGGGGGCAGGGGAGGTGTCTGTAGGACAAAGCAGAGCTGATCTGTGGGGGTCTCCTAGGCTGTAAGCTCATGGAAGCAGACCACCACATCTTCCTTCCACATCTCTCAACCGGTGGGTCCACGCTGCTGGCATTTGGCTAGTAGTTGAGTGCTTAATCCCTGTGCCACCAGGGCTTACTTATTCTGTCCCCCAGGGCTCCTTAAAGGAGCATCTAAGAATGTCAGACCCTCCATGTGACCAGAACAAGCTCTCCACCAAAAGCCCCATCTCCCTGTGGGCTTCACCCCTAGGGAGGTTCCCTTCGGTGAGCGACTTCAGCCTCCTCTTTGTTTCCCAGTGGAGGAGAACCCACAGACGTTTTCAGGCAGAGGAATTGCCTATCTGAATCAGAAAAGGGGCCCTGCAAGGAGGGTGTGAGAGGCCTGGTAGGGATTCAGCAAGGGCAATGTAACCGAGAGAAATTACTGAAACCCAAATGAAGGCGGAGCATGATAGTGGGACAAGAGGAAAGTAAAAGGAAATAGAGGAAAGAACTAGGAGATAAAGGGTATTTATGGAGGTCTAAGTACAGGCATGTACCTATGTGAATATATTTATATATAATGATAGGGAAATACATCTATGTACATATATTTATAGGTTTATTATTAAGGCAGCAGATGGACATTGGACCTCCACTCAAGTACTCCTTCAATGCAAGAACACTTTGTTCTATTAAATTGGCATTCCATGATGCACACCTTCCTGACACAATCGCTGAAGACAAATGGGTGCATAAGCAAATGTGGTAAAGAAAGCTGATGGTGCCCAGCTATAAAAAATAAAATATAGCATCTGGGGTCTTGAAGGCAAGCAGATAAACAAGCAGCCATCTA